TCCTCCCTGTGGGACAGCTACTTTTAGGTGCCTCTTACGGATGAGGGAAGTGGGGCTCTGAGAGCTTGGGAGCCTTCTCAAGGTCACCCAGCTGATGACAGAGGGTTGGGAAGTCATCCATGCCCAGCCTGAGAACCCAGCTCAGAGTCAACCGGTGTCCGGGTCCCGCGTGAGGTCACCCCAAACACAGCCGCGTGTGTTCATGGCGGGGGAAGGCAAGGTTGGAGGCGAGCCCTATCGCTCTGGGCAAGACACGGGGCAGAAGAACCCGCCACTGGGAATGGACTGGGAGTGGCTTTTTACTTCCCGGCCTGCGTCTTTTTTTTTTTTTTTTTCAACGTTTTTTATTTATTTTTGGGACAGAGAGAGACAGAGCATGAACGGGGGAGGGGCAGAGAGAGAGGGAGACACAGAATCAGAAACAGGCTCCAGGCTCCGAGCCGTCAGCCCGGAGCCTGACGCGGGGCTCAAACTCACGGACCACGAGATCGTGACCTGGCTGAAGTCGGACGCTTAACCGACTGCGCCACCCAGGTGCCCCCTGGCCTGCGTCTTGAAGTGAATGATGGATTCGCCCAGACTGGGTCTCTTCATCCCTGAGCCTCTGCTAAGGAGACGCTTAGAGTGGGGGACTGGGGGAGGGGGCCGGGGTGGTGGCTCCATATGGGCCACGGGGAGGTGACCTCAGCCACTGGAGCGGCAGTGCTTCTCTCCTTTGCCCCTTCTCCTTCCTCTCTTCCTCTAAGCAGGCGGGGCAGGGAGGCAGGGGGCAGGGAGGGGCGGCTGGAGGCACCATGACCCTCTGGTGCCCAGGCCTTGAGCACAGCTATCTGGAGCTGATTTGATAGCAACAGCGGAATCGCAGCCTGCTCCCGGCTCCGGCAGCCCGAAGGTCAGGCCTCACGGCTCTGTCTTCATCTTAGGTAAAGGGCCACGGTGGCTACTGAGCCACACGCACCCAAAGGCATTATCTGAAAGCCAAGACGCCAGCGAGGAGGCCGTTGACATAAGTCTGGGGAGAGATGGTGTGGCCTGAGCTGGGCCGCAGTCAGGGGAGTGCCATCTGTCATGATCTCCCATTGGCACCTATCCTACAGAGGAGGACACCTGAGGTCACCTAGCAGCAAATCAGAGGTTTAGCAGGGTCCTGGGGCAAGTCCGAGCTCTGTCCTCAGCCACCCCCGCCCCCCTCCGCCGGCTGGGGCCTGTGTGTCTGAGACCTCCTGTCTGGGTTTGCCCTACTTCGTGGGACGCCCTTGTGACCTGCCCCCTCCCGTGTGGGCTGGTAGGACAGTAGCAGCCTCTGTGGGGCTCCAGGCCTGACCCATCCCCAGCCTCTCCCCTCCTGGCTCCAGGATGTCTGGAGCCCTGCAGACTCCCAGGAATGTCCCTGGCTTGGGCTGGCCAGCTGGAGAGGCACCGGGAAGATGAAGGTCCTCGACACCATGTGCATTTCCACGTGCTGGCGCAGGCGCAGAGCCAGGAGGAACCTTAGTGGTCATCTGGGCATCAAAGGACCAGAGGTCCCAGAGAGGGCCGTGTCTGGCCCAAGGACACGCAGTAGATCTGAGAACACACGGCGGACAACTCTGTAAAGGAGGTGGCTTTCCAGCCACCCTCACCCACGCCCTCCTTGCAGGGCTGTGAGGAATGCAGGGATCGTGATCCCCATTTTGCAAAGAAAGAACTGAACAGAGAGATTCAGGGAGAGCCCGTGATTTGTCCAAAGTGAAACAGGTCGATCTCACTTCATCCATCTTCTGGTCTCTCCCCGTTCACGTTCTCTCTTTCACTCGTGCTTGCTGATCAGTCAGCAGATTTTTCCCGAGCCCTTAGCCTGGCTTAGGGGACCCAAAGTGGAACTGGCCACATTCTCTGCCCTCAAGGGGCTCCCTGTCTGGAAAGTGCCTGTGAAGGAGAACAATACAAAAGAGGGAGGAGGGGGAAGGGCCTGTGGGCTGGATCAGTGAAGGAGACTTCCTGCTGGAGGTGGCATTTCCAGAATCGTCTGAATGAAGGGAACTACAGAGGGAGTCCATAGGTGTGGCTGGGGAGAAGGCTGAAGAAATGGAGTGGGAAATGGCGTAGAGAGATGGCACACACACGTACCTCACAGAGGAGAGGGGAAAGCACTGTTTCAAAGGCTGTTGTGTGGTGATAAGAGCTCTTGATGTCGGGTCAGCCAGACCCCGATACGGGTAAAATCCCAGAGGGAGAGGCTGGGTGCCCCTCACCCTGAATCTTCAGCCCTGAGCACTGGGTCTGGCATCAGGAGTCCACTGACTAGATGAATGACCCTGATTCCAACAAATACAGAAGAGCCCTTGGGCAAGTCGCTCCACTTCCGTGGCCTCGACTTCTTTATCTGTGAAATGGGGAGAACTATAAAACACCTGTGACA